GGTTTAATCTGCAGGGTTTCCTACGCTTTTCAGAAGTGGTGTTTTTCAATCCTCATGTTAATGAAAGAAAATGTTACTACCTTGTATGGCACAGAGCCTGCTGCTGAGCATGCAGCAGGCACTCAATAAATGGGGGACTGATTGACTGACTTCACGTGATGGCCTTGTAGTATTCACTAACCATCTCCTGTTGGGGGCCCAAGGAGGACATCATGCAAGAGACAAGGATCCCAGGGAAAAGGACCTGCTCCTGGCTGGGAACCATGAGCACTAGCAGACAGAAGAGAAAGTTCCCTTGGGACATTTAAAAACTGTAGTTGTCCCTTTCCCCCCCATTCAGTCTTTTGGAAATGAGACTTAAAAAAAAACCCCACAAGAAATAATACTTTCAACACCATACCCTCTGGCTAAACAACTCACACAGTTTTAAAGCACATTAATTTTTCTTCTGTTTAGTGATCCGAAACTAGTGCCTGGGAAAGTTTAGCATCCCTGAAAGCTCTGGCAACTGACAACTAAGCTGCTTTGCAGTTTTTTTCCACATGATTTTAGCAGCTGACCTTTTACAAACCACAAGAGATAGAGATCAGGTAAATTGGAATTCCATGCTGTTTCCAATGGGATTCTAAAAGAACAATACACAACACAGAAACCTCATTTTAGCAGCAGCTGCTAAAAATCATGGCAAAATTAAAGGGGAACTCAACAAGGCCCCATTCAGAGTGACTTGATCTCCCTCTGCATTGGTTTGAGGGGTGAAAAAAAAGGGACATAAGAACTCGGAACAGCAGCCCTTCCTTCTTTATCAAATACTCTCTGTAGTTCTGTTTAATAATAGAGAGCCCTGAGTAAGAAGTTCTAACTTGCGCCCATATAGCATCTTGTCAGGGTTGCTGTTCCCCTCAGGAAGCACACCCTCATTTTCTTTACCTAACTTTCTCTTTTGTACTCAAAGCTGGAATTTAAAGAGATTTAAAAAAAATAAAAAAGACCCAACAACAACAAAACCAAACATGCCTGGCTGCTGCCCTAAACCTAAACGGCCTGGCAAATTCACACTGCGATTTCCTCTTTAGAGGAATAAAAACAAATAAGGAGTGAAAACAGGTTTGTTTGAAGACTCAGATATTTTGGCAAATCCGGAAACAATGCTGTCTTAGCAGGTATTTTCCCACTAAAAGGGGCAGAAGAGGAAAGGTTATGCTGGATACTGTAGGTACAACCTACCACTCCTTTCTCCCTCCCCTCCCCCAACATTCTGAAGGCTGGCCCACACCGACCCTCCATCTGGACCTCTTTGAGGCCACTTCTTTAATTTTCATCAAATGACCTCTTCTTCAAGTGGGTTCTGATCAAGCCTTCAGAGCTGGACTACTGGCTAATCTAAGCAGCCAGGGGCAAAGCTGAAACAATGATGGGGAGGGGGAAAAAGACACATATCTCCTCTTCCAAATGGGGACAGAGAAATATATTTCAATAAATATGATACACAGTGTCCCCAAAGTCAGCACAGTTTGAAGCTCAAAACTATTAAAGCTTAAAACTGCACTGACTTTGAGGGTGCCCTGTATGGCCAGCATATTTGCACAAAGGTTATGGAAAAAAAGCTGGCAAGTACAAGCAAGTTGTATGTTCTCAGTGACAGCTTCTGTGTTGGTGATGTGCTCAGCCAGATGTGTGATCTTGGTGCACATCTAGGTAAATGCGATCAGAAACAGAGGCGGGCCTGGGCTTGGGACGGGAAACAGAGAGGCAGCTAGACTGGTGTACTGTTGCCCAGGCAACACTGGGAGAACAAGACTGTAGTGCCCTAGAGCAGTGGTGTCGGCCTCAGATTATAAAATGTAATTGGGGAATATTTAACAGTAATAATAGCTAACGCTTCTATAGCACCTACTATATGCCAGGCACTGTGCTAGGCATTTACAAATACTATCTCATTTGATCCTCACAACAACCTGGAGAGGTAGGGGCTATTATTATCTCTATTTTACAGAATGGAAACTGAGGCAAACGGAGGTTAGGTGACTTGCCCAGGGTCACACAGCTAGTAAGTGTCTGAAGCTGGATTTGAACTCACAAAGATGAGTCTTCCTGACTCCAGCCCTACCAAGCGCTCTGTATACTGTGCCACTTAGCTGTCCCAAAACAAAACACATAAAAAATAGAACATAAATAATGTTAATATTCTAAGTCAATATGCACCCTGCAGGGATCTGTTTCTCTTTGAGTTTTGACACCACTTCTCCAGAACGTTGGGGGATTTAGGGGAAAACCTGCATGAGAATCAGACTGGACATAAAGGTATAGAGGAGTGAGGGTGGGGGCTGTGATCCGGGCCAGCAGAGAGAACACACCCACTGATCAGACAGAAGCCCTTTCAAAAGACCAAAGTATATACAGCAAGAAGCAACTTTTCTGTGTGTGTCTCTGACCACATGAAATAAAGATGGAATAACAAGATGGTACTTAAGTCCACAAGTACTGGAGAGGTAGGAACAGACTACCAAGATACTGTCACTAATGAGGGTGCTTTGTGTTTATAAAGTGCCTTTTAGAGGGACTCAAAGTGCTTTCCTTCCATTAGCTCATAAGATCTAATGAAATCCCTGAGGTGGGAATGCAGTAAGTACAAAGCCAAAATAAGAATAGCAATAATAAATCTTGAATTTATATAGCACCTTGCCTCCAAAAGCTCTAAGCTCTTCACATAGATGGTCATTAATTATTCATCTTTAATCAGCACAGTGAGCCTATCTATGATATACAGATGGTTTGACATTGAGGAGAACTGCACAGCGAGTGAAACTCTAGGGACCAATATGATTGCAGGTCTCCCCCAAAGGAGTGAACCCAGTCCAGGGAAAGCCTAAGGTGGCTCCAATATGGAATACCTCTAAGCCAAGGCACCCTGTCAGAACAGTTGGGTCTGCGGCCTGATGGGAATTATTGTTTCTGAAGCTGACAGAGCTGAACTCCAGTCTTCAAGAGTGGGATCAAGGCACATCTGATACCAACCTCTCTGGTCACTTTGGATGTCTTACAATCTGGAAAGAATGTGAGACCTGGAAGCAGGAGGGATTTGGGATTGAATCTCGCCATGAACAGGGACTTGACCTCTTTGAGCCTCTCAGTTTCTTCATTTGTAAAGTGGAGGGAATAATGACTGCAGTCCCTACCTCAGGGTTGCTGAGATAATGGATGTTTCCCAAGAAGGGTTGAATGTTATGCTCAAATATGATTAAATATTTTTAAGGGGGGAGAGGACAGAAAAGTGTGGTTCTGGGTGGTTCTAACTACACAGATGATGGAATCAACATGGAATTGACATGCAGCCATCTACCCATCCACCGATTCCACAAACATTTATAAGTTCTGTCTGTGTGCAAAGCATTGTGTTCAGTCATGGCTCCCTGAGAAGGGTGGGGACCAGTCCGGACCACCGTGTCAGCTCATGGACCACAGTGCTCCCCTGACTGCCAGCCAGGTTCGACCCTGGAGGCTCTAAAGCCTGACATCTTTCCCTAAGGACACGCAGAAGGAACACCCCCCCGCATCCCATCCCCTCCACCCTGGGAGCTCTGTTCAGATGCTAGAGCTTTGTTGGTTTGCCGTTAAGGGGCCTCCCTCCTGGCACTGTCTCACATACAGGAAGTACTCGTTAGCTATTCACAATTACATTACCTATCATGCAACAGAAAGGTGCTTGGCACCTTCCTCATCAGATTTCATAGAACTTAGAACTAGAAGGGTATTTAGAGATCGTTCAGCCCAACCATCTCATTCCCAATAAAGCTAAGGTCTCCTGGGAGTCAGGGCAGGATACCTGGTGATACAGTGGGCTATGACTTTTAGTTTTTTGTATATAAACACTGAGGAAGAAGAGGGATGGAGCAGCTTTTCCTCACTAGGACTAGGAAGACAAACCGACTTCACAACATAGATGTGAATGGCCTGGCATCATCTTAGGTACAGATAGGCATCATGCCTACAGCAGGAAGAAACAATTCCAAAGCAGCTTCAGGGCAACTATAGCTGGAAGACTTCTGACCCATAGAATGAGGAAGCCCATGACTTAGTCTCTCAGGGAACACCAGAAATGTAGCTAATTAGAAAATGAACTAATGAAGTAGAAGGGGAAAAAAAAAAGATCAATTTTGGGCCTAGGTGTTTCTTTAATTTCTATAATTTCCTACAGATTTATGTTCTTACAGAAAATAGTCTGATTAATAGTTATCTTGATGGCTTCCTGGAATGGCTATCACTACCTTCTTAACCATCAGTCCTCAGGACAAGAGGGAAGATTGAAATCACTTCTGTGTTGCATTTGAACAAAGCACCCATCTGCCTGGTGGTAACCAGCTAAATTGCAGGCATAGGCCTTATTAGAGCAAGGTTCTTAATCTTTTTTGTGTTCTGGTCATCTCTGGCAGTTTGGTGAGTCTATGGATCCCATTTCAGAATTTTAAAATTTTTAAATGAATAAAAATACATAGCATTACAAAAGAAGCCAGTTCCACTGAAATGCGGTTATCAAAAAAATTTTTTTCCTCAAAAGTTCACAGCCCTCAGGCTAAGAACCTTTGCCTTAAAAGAACAATCCAAGTTAAAGAGGATGTAGCTAGCTAATTCAATCCAATTTTAGTGGCAGAAAGCATCGTACTTCCCATAAGGCTGCCACCATTTCCTGAAAAATCAACCTCATTTCAAACCTTATGGGAAACCTGCCAAGGTGTTAAAATTACTATCTTCAATGGAAAAAAGTCAGCATTTCTAAAAAGGGCAAAGGAAATACAAGACTCTCCAGGATATGACACCAAAACACCAAGCCTTAAAGGAAAAAAAGAAACAATCCTCAAGATTTCTCCAAACAATGAGAGACTTGACCCAAGTCTCAATCTGAGGAATGATCAAAAGAGACTTTGATACTTAAATGTAGACTTTGGCCAGAAAGTCCAAAAAAAGAAAGAAAATCCAAACAAACAAAGCTTGCAAATTACCTGGTAATTATTTTGGTTTTGTGATAGCCTCAATTGGTTTGATGATACAAAATGTGGAGAAAAATGACTTCGTGATGGATTAGCACTGTTGTACAGTGTACTGGATGGTGTATGCAGTGAGGTCCGTGGCGCCAAGTGGTAGTCTCTATGATAGAGTACATTGTCAGGCAGGTCTCTGGCATTCGCCAATTGTGAATTTGCCATATTTCTCCCCGGTCCAGGCAAAGTTGCGCTTTGGTTCTCAGCTCGAAGGGAACTGCCTTCATAAAACCTCGAGTAGTTTGGGATCTGGGCTCCCATCAAGGCCAACTCTTCTTCTCTGGCATATTCATCATCAACATCACCTGTCTCCATTGCAATGGACAGGTAATTCCCTTCTGCTGAGCTAGGCTTCTGTGTGGTGTGCCCTCCAAGCATTTTTTGTGGATAGTCACTAACGGCCAATGAAAACACTTCCCGGATTTCCAGGTTTTGGGCACTACAGTAAGGGTCTCTGACACTTGCCCTTTGTCCAGATGAGCTGTGTGATATGAGACTTGAATGCTCGGGCTTATATGACCTTTGACCCCCTATGGGTTCTGTTTTGCAAGGTCGGTGGCACGCCGTTGACTTTTGAGGTAATGGCATTTCAGCAGCTTGGACTGAGGCACCGCCATAGTTTTTCTTGGCCTGGTTATATACAGGGTTTCCAGCATTTAGTACGCTGGTCTGTCTTGACAAAATAATCGTTTTTTCACCCAGGAGCAGCGAGGCATTTTTACAGTGTGCCATTTGCCTCTGCACAGGAACATGCAGCTGAAATTCAGGCTCATTTTTTCCCAAGGATCTCTGAATGGGGATTTTATGAGTTTCTGCCATTTGAACATTTGTCTGTTTGGTGGATCCTTGCCTACTGGAAGAGCTAGCTGGGCTATAGATACCAGTCACTATGACATCGTTGTTAGAGGCCCAAGAAGATTGCTGGCTTGGGGGTCGAGTAACATTGACATTGACAAGGTTTCTGACAGCCATGTCTGGAGATGCTTGAGGGGTACCAGGTATAGTCCCTGGGGTTGAGGATCCAGACTCTGCATTCTTGCTGCTCATTTTTCTTCTCTTGTTGCCAACCCAAGTCTGGAAAGACAAAAAAGTTCATATGAAAAACCAAAAATCCTAACGCTCGCCAGCAAGCCTCACATTTTAAATAATAAATTGTGTTCACATTTCCCATCAGACCACTTTTAGCTAAAAGATAAGAGGAGCCAAATAAAAGACCTCTCCAAAAATTAATTATGATCAAAGTATAGACAGACACTTGGTAGATACTTCAAACCTTTCTCCAAAGTGTGCTGTACCATGCCCTTCCCCATCATACAGCTGCTAACCTTTACACAAGGATAGTGAAGATGTTTTATAATGGCCAACCCTCAACTACATCTTGCTTTGATTCTTGGTAAGATTTACTTGATTTTTGTAATGTTAATTATACTAGATAGAAAACCAACGCTACTTTTTTTTTTAAGGCAATTGGGGTTAAGTGACTTGCCCAGGGTCACACAGCTAGTAAGTGTCAAGTGTTTGGTCTGAGGCTGGATTTGAACTCAGGTCCTCCCGACTTCAGGGCCGGTGCTCTATCCACTGTGCCACATAGCTGCCCCCTCAATGCTACTTTCAAAAGGAGGGTGAGGGAATAGAAAGACCACTGGACCCGGAGTCTGGAGAGACATAGGTTTGATTTCTGGCAGCCCTACTTACTGGACAAGTAACAGTAAACAATTTCTTTTTAGTTTTTCCTAGCTCCAATTTCCTCATCTGTATAATGAAGATAATACTACACAATAATGTTAATATGATATAGTGGACCCGCTTTGGGACCAGGAAGACCTGGTTTCAAATCCTGCCTTTGACACCTACTAACAGTGTGATGTTGGCTAAATCAATTAACCTCTCAGGTCCCCCCCCCACCCCAAACTCTCTAAGACTAAGTTACAGAGAATTTGTGGGTGGGTTATCAGGTAGAGGGAGTTACCATACCTGGAACTCCTTGCAGCAAAGAAATTAAAAGATTCAGGCCCCAATTCCCTGCCTCCTATGAGTGTAGCATAAAACATAGAGTATTTTATGATTTACTGTGATTTAGTATCAGTACTACCTGAAGCATTGTTGTTATTATTATGACTGTTGAGAAATTCTAGAAAGAGGCGCCTGTGCTTTGATGACTAGCTTATGTCCAAATGAGGACAATGCCAAGGTAGCTATGCCGGGTTCAAACTCATTCTGATCGAGCTGAAGCAAAGAGCAGGAGAAAAGCCTCTGGCATAACACAGCTGAATACTGACAGCTATGAAAAGCCCTCATCTAAAAGCTGAGGAATTGGGGATGAGGGGATGAGATCACCTCAAAAATCTTGAAAATTCTGAGATCCTATAAGTCTTGCAAGGACCAAGATAGAGTTGTCTAGAAAAACCATTATAAGAAAGATATATTTTAAAGCCTAGTCCAAAGGAAAAAAAATGTCCACAATTCATGTCTTTGGCTTAATAATAATTAAGCAAACACAACTTCCATTTTAATCCTGACTCCAAATAGAAATGCATTAAATTTAGCAACCACTTGGTGATTTCTCAAATTTAGAAAATTAAGCATGGACACCATGCTGCATATTTATATTCATTTGACAAACAAATGATAAGTAATTCTCAGTGTCCATATCTGTAAAATGAAGAGGTTGAACTAGATTATCTGGATCGTCCCTTCTAGCTACAAATCTTAAGACTTTAATACAGAGGAGGAAAAATTGAAACATTCTAATAGGAAAGTCTCTTCCCTGAAGTATTCCCTGATCCTCCCCAGCTTAAAGTGTCTTCTTCCTCTTCAAATAGTCCTAGAGCATTTTGTTGGCTCTCTTCTTTCCCCTATCACATCCTATCTTGTATAATCCTTATCTAGGGTCCCTGATGCATTCCCAACCCCCTTACACCCCCCTTCCAGTCTCCCACCAAGTTCCTTAAGGGCAGAGATTGTGTGATTTTTTTTTCTTCTCTGTATCTCCAAATCCTACCATAATGCGTTATATTAAGCAGGCACTGAATGTTTATTAGAAGAATGAAAGCTATATAATTCCCTAAGAAATTCTGAAATGCTTAGCTCCAGCCTCTTGGAGAGAAGTTTTGGAACAAATCTGTTCCCCCCCCATTTCCTGCCCCTCCACCCCCAAACTACCATGTTTTCACTTGGATTGCAAACTTGAATTGGAGACATGCAGAATAACCTGAATATACTATAAACTTATAGATTATTTTGTATTATGTTACATTGGAGATTTGAATGAGGCACATGACAAAAGCTAAATTATATAAATACCCCAAAGAGCTAGAAGACTTGCCTATCTAGGATAAATCAGAAAGTAGGCAAAAAAAAAAAAGATTTCCAAGCAGCCAAAAGACATATCACAAAAGCCCATGCACTAAAACTCATGCATGTGCTCCCAAGAAATTCTCTCAGGTCCTCACTCAGAGCCTCTTTCCTACTATTTTACACACAATTCTAACGAGCTTGGTTTTTTGCCTTAACAAACCCACAGCAGATTAGAAGTGACATTTCAGAAGGCTGGGGAGATGGGCAACTATAGATAGAAGTGAGAAGTGATATCTGACAGCCTGACAAAGGAGGAAAACAGGGAGGGAAAACCAACTATCAGAAGCAGACAAAAGAATTCAAAAAGGACTGAAGTCTGTGGGGGCCAGGGAGTGTGGAAGCAAAGGACCCTACCACACTAATTGGCCCTGAGGGCATTACTGTCCCACAGCAGTATACTGTGATTGATGTTCATGGTGATGCCTCTGAGTCACCAAGGAAAGGTTAAATGATGGTCAATATCCTCTGTTTGAGAATGCAAGGAAGTGGGAAACCCAGTTTAGGTAGATCTCTTTCCAAAATGGTTGACATAAAAAAAGCAAACAATTCATATGTGAAGGAATAAACCCTCAGCAATCCAGAATGACTCATTCCTCAAGGGTTCTGTATAAGCCAAGGTCTAACTGTTATTTCTATAGGAAAAAAAAAGTGTAGGAGTCTTGGGAAGAAGTCAACAACTCAAGCATGTATGTTTGATGTACATTGTTCTACTACACAAATGTTCTATTGTTCTGAGATGAACAAATGGGTCAAGTGATAATATGAGAATCTTGGTGAAGAGCTGACAAAAGCGAGATTTATCTGAGGCTGACCCTTCATTTCCATACAGATCTCCTTAAACTCAGCTTGATGCTTAGCAACTTCCTCTCACTGATCCTCTTCCCTTTCTCTTTTCCAGTCTCACACTAGATTTATTCTCACTTTACTGGCCTAATATTTGGAAGTCTTCTTTCTACAGGAAATGTTGTTTACAAGCCCTCTGAACCAGAAATCTGGAGTTCTTTGGAGAAGGGGTACTGTGAATCAAATGCATAACAACCTAAAGAAAGAAAACAAAACTCTCAGCTGGGGCACAGAGAACTAGCAAAGGCTGGGGAGAAGACTTGATGCAGCTCTCTTCACCCTGGGCTGGAAAAATTGCCCAAATTCTGTCGGACTGTGGATTAGAAAGTATGAATTCCTGTATTCTTTACACTTGCTTGGGTTGGTGAGCATGCGTAAGCTTTACAAATTTTCTAATGCTTTGCTTCCAATCTTATTTGTAATCTTATGTTCTAGGCATCGATTTTCTTTATTCCCATTAAGTCCATTCCCTGTTTTGGTACTGGCAACAGCACAATTCCACATCTTTGTATTTCAACGCACTCTCAATTTTCAAGCACAAAAAAACAAGTTATTAGAGGTAGATTGCAATGAGCAATTGGAAATATGAAAGCTAAGAGTCTGCCATACAACTGCCTGAGAACACTTTTTACATCAAAGTAACAGAAGATAGAAGGGGGGAAAAACAAAAGGAAGTCACACTTCAAAAATGAGAATTTGATCTGACAAAATGGGATCTCATCAACCTGAGCTACTATTACTCATTCTTTTTTATTAAATACCCTAAACACAACCAAGAGGAGGCTTGTAGAATAGCCACTTTTTCCAAAATGATCTCCTTTTTTTTCTTTTATCTTTTTTTTTTTTTAAACAACTATGGGGTTAAATCAGGGTATTCTTTGCAATACAATGCTGAGCTACCCAGGGGATACATCTCTGGTCCCCACATAAATCTATTTTGGTTGAAGGTTGAGCTCAGCAAACAGGAAAGCTATGCTCTCAATTTGTTTTTCCTACGATTAGTGATACAAATCCCTATTTGAAAGGAACATGTTCTCTGACTGAAGGAAATGTACTCTCCAAAGTATTCTGCTTGACAAGAGATTTCTATCTTTAAATTTCTTTGAAGAGGTTCCACAGAAAAGTACATTAGAAAACAAGATTTATATTCTCTCTCCCAAATGACTCCAAAAGAATGCCAAGGTTGGGAAATCTGCTACTCTTTGACCCACTAACTTGGGTGTCAGGAGGAAAGTGAGCACATGCCAACAACTATTAAAGGATCAATGAATTCGAGATCTTCCCCCCGCTAAACTACTGGATTGAGGCTTTTTGGCATGTGCATTGCTTCCGTTTCTCCCACATGGCTAACAACTATGATTTAGATAACTCAACTGCCCTGGGTACGAAACCACCATTCACATTGGAATGCTACATCTTTCTGGGAATGCCCACTCATTCAACCAACCTGATGAAATGAATATATTTTTATAATACTAAAAACCAAAAAAAAGATCTTTCCCTAAAACAAGTCAATAAATGCCCATGTCACGAGCGCCTGGCAGCCATTCGATTACATCAGGTGTACAGACTTCTCGGGAAGTCTACATCCAAAGAACAGGTAGCACTGTGTCAGACAAATCTGGGGCTCCTCAGATAACTGAAATCAATCTCTAGGAAAAGGTCAAATTTCATTAAAGACTTAATGATAGCCGAAAAAGAAGAAGCAACCCTCAAGAAGTTAATTTCTTGGATGGACAGGGGCCTCCTTCAAGACCTGCCCTCCCTCCCCCACCCCAAAGGCTTTCATGCTCCCAGCACATTCACAGGAACAACAATACAGACTACATTAAGTTCTACCAGGGAAACTAAGTTGTTGAGAAAGTTAGTGCCTTCATGCCCAGCAGCTGCTTGCACGTTAAACAAATATCATTTGTTATGAAATGATGTCAATTCAAGGGTGGAAGACCTCTGTACTTACCCTGACTACACTGAAGTCCAGCTTAGTTTCTTGCGCACACTGTAATATGAGCTGAAAGCAATTTTTACTTTGATTTGTCATCCCATTTTCATAATAACGCTGCAAAATCCTTTGTTGCTCTACAGTAAATACCGAACGCAGATTCATCTAAAAATAAAAGAAGATACTCTGAACATTGGAAGCAATCGTTTAAGACGGACGAATTTGTAGGCTCTCATTTATCTGGACAAGTTCAAGCTACCAAGCTAAAAGGCTTTTCTCAGTGAATTAATCCCCACTAAAGGGCAATAAGTTACTTGGGCTATGGGGAGACAGCTCTTGCTGATAAAATGCACATCAGGTGAAGACTTATTGTATTTGTTCAGAGAAAGTATCAACTTAAAAGGCTGCCAAATAAATGGAAAGTCCTTATCTGGTTAGTTTAATGTATGAAAAAAATAAAACACACAAGGCTTCTTTCACTGAAAGCAATATATATACATGGCTAGTAAAGTTTGGCATGGTTACAGCCATCCTTGGTCAATTCTCACGAAGGCCAATAGCTGTTCTTGGTCAGGCAAGAACAAGCATCATGTCTGACAGATATCTGTCTTACAACCAGAAACAAATCAGCGCTTTTATTTTCCCTTCTTTCTGGGAGTAAAGTGGTCCTTTGGGGAAAAACCAAAATACTCTCCTTTAAAGCTATAATGTTTATGGAAATATTGTCAAATAATCTGGCAGGTATGAGTGGGAGGCTTCCTGTTCTTTCACAGCAGTGCTAACCAATGTCATGATTTTGATACCTATATAACATAGAAATCAAAACCCCAAATCATGCACATTCAAAAGGAAAGAAGCCATATCCAATCTATGCCCCTTCAGGTTAAATTAACACTGGGTCTTAATTAGACAACAAGAAAAAACAAAACATACTTCCTCCTTCTTGTACAACAGGCTAGATGCTTTAATCCTAAGGGAAAAACAATTTCAGGCTTGCCACTGAGAGATGGCAGGTCCATCCTCCCGGAACAGGTGTATTCTACTTGTGTATTTCAGAAAAGATAACAATTCCTAGGCTCTGGCTAAGGCAATCTCCAGATCTTTCCTAGAGTGGTTATTGAAATGAATATTCCTAAAAGCAGGCAAGCCTTTCTAGCAGAATGGATCATAAAAACCAGAAGAAGGCGGGGGGGGGGTGAAACAAGCTGACTGGTCTCGCAAAGAAACAACAAAATATTAGCAAACCCAAAGGAAGTCTTTCCTGGCAACTGTAGATAGAGACCACCTGGTGCACGGGCGCATGAACTGAAATCGATTTCCCCTTCTCTGAAGGTTTCAAACAATAAACCAGTCTAGCAAAGAAATGAGAAAGGACCCACACCGCCTGCTACCCCAGCAGCTAAGAGTATACCTGCCTTCCTTCTTTGCCCTTGCAGACATCTCCAGGAAGGGTATAGTAGGAGGAAAGTGGAGGGGTGAGGTCACAGAAAAGGAAGTATACTTGGTTCCCTGCCCTGTGTTGGCCTGGTGAGTTCAGAAACGCAAGTGTCCATCTGTCTTGTGGAGGGGGTTCTGCCTAAGGTCCTTTGTCTGCCACGTAACTGGATTTTCCAGGGTTTTGGGGTCAGTTGGCAGTGGCAGCAGCCACAAAAGCCACTGCTGAGCACCACTGCTGCCACCTTTGAGAACCCCAACTGGGTTCCATCCCCAGCAGGGATGGGAGATAAGGGATCTGGTGGCCTGCCTCTCCTGATCTGACCAAACTGGAGGATCCTCTGGCTCTCGGGAGGCCCCTCTTGTGACACAAACACCCACTGACCTGTTCTAGTGAAAGCCTTCCTGTTTGTTTTTATAAAATATATTCATTTCAGTAGGTTGTTCAGTTGATTGAGGCTCCTGGTTTTCTAATGGAAATGTTCTAGTTACACAAGGAGCATGTATAGCCCAGTTCCTTTGGGGGCTAGCTAGAACCAGTTCAATTTGACATACATTTATTATGCACCAGAAGCATGCAGAGCACTTTACAAGACACTGGTGGGATACACTCCATTTAAATCATAGCGGACAATTTAGATTCATGGCAGGCATTTACAGTTGCAGCTTTGCTCCTCCCTAAGGGGACAGTAACAACAGTACAAAGCCTAGGAGTGGGAGGGGATGAACAACACCTAGGTGGGATAGTACCTGCCCAAATTGGGGGGGGGTGTCTTCCTATTGGCATGACTCCAGGAAAATAATGGACACTTTCTCAATTCTGAGGCCAGTCTCACAAACCCCAGCAGGTTCTCCATTACTGACACTATTAGCTAAACACAACAGCTCCAGCTCTGGTAAAAGACAACACTGTGACCTTTTCCATTTTCTCCATAAATTCAGTAGCATCAGCAGGAAGGCCACTTTGCACAGGAGATCTATTATTTATCTTACAAATTAAAGGAAGCTAATTCTTTCCCACAACAACTAGATAACCGTGCAAGAACAAGATAAGTTGGCATTATCTCCGCCCACCCCAGTTATCTTGGGCAGTGAGGAAGGGAGATACCCAACTGTTCAGCTGATGCTCTTAATCATCTGCAAGAAAAGTTTTTACAATCTGACTTTTAAAGGTGGGATGCTTATTTATTAGAAGCAGAAGAAAAAGAAACATGTTTTCCCATGTTAGACTACATGGGAAAAGTAAAGGAAAAATAACATTAGTAACTAAATAATGAAGAATGTGTTATGTCTTTGAATGAGTCAAGAGGTGGACCATGTCCTCAGTCTAATAAGCACAGCTCCTTTCCATCTGAAGCTCAGCCTGCAGACTCCCCCGGAGCTCAATTCTGAGGAAGAGGGCAAAGAGCATCCCACAGCATGGCTACAAAAACAAAAATCACTTCTCCTCTCTAAGACTTACTTTCCTCACTGGTGAAATGGGGACAGCACCATCTTTCCAACCTATCTCACAAGGCCATTCTGAGGACTGAAGGAAATGATGTATTCATTCAATAAATATTTATTTAGCACTTACTGAGTACATAACACTGTATTGGGTTCTGGGGAAAGAGACAAAATTCAGAGAAGATAAGGTTCCTGCCCTCATAAAATTTACAGTCTGGGAAAGGGATAAGCCAAAAACAGACGATGATAATATGCAGCAACTGTGTTACTTCTATGCAAAAGCATTTGGCAGATTAAGGCTTTTACTGGGTCTTTTCCTTGCCGTACTACCATCTTATAATATTCTTGAGTTAATTGGCAAAAGCTAAGAAAAGGTTAGGCACAGTAAATGAATGGGAATAGTACTAAACTGGGTATAAATTCACAAGAATTCATTGACTTAGCACTGGCTAAGCACAGTGCCTGGCACATCATAGATGCCAAATGAATGGCAGTTGACTGGCTGACTGATTTATATAGCACTTAAAGGTTTGCAGAGCACTTGGAATATATTACCTCATCGGAGCCTTGAAGTTCCATTAGGGAAGTGCTATGACTATTATCATCCCCATTTTACAGATGAAGAAACTGAGGCTGGGAGTCAGTGACTTGCTCATAGCTAGTGACTGAGGTGGGATTCAAGTCCACATCCTTCTGATTCCAAATCCAGTTTTCTATCCATTACATGAATCAGAACTAAGTCCTAACCCTGGTCTGGCTGATACACAATGATTTTGGTTATTAAGCCACTACTTTAGACCTCACTTTCCCCCTAAAATAAAAAGAAAAGAAGGTAATTCCACCCCACACAGGTTTACATGGTACAACGGGTCAAGTAATTTTACCTTCTTAGGAGAGAATAAGTAAAAAAAAAAAAAATCAAGACAGACCATACAGGGAGCCTCTCTAGAAAGCCATTCTTGAAGTGCAGGTCACTTACTACCTTTATAACCTTAAGGAAGTCATTGAACCTCTCTGGACTCCTTTCCTCATCTCTAATATCAGGGGGCTGGATTACATGACCTCTCACGTCCCCTTCACAGCTAAATCTGTGAGCCTGTGAACACGATGTGTAATTACTTTGAGATTACCTCATACCTATGCCCTCTGGAGACTCTAGCTACTTAAGTCAAGAGAGATGCACTGGGTACAGAATCTCACTCTAGAGCAAATAGTGTCACGACTCCAGTCTAAGCAGAGACAATTCAACACCCACAATCATCTCCCTCTTTATGTTGAGAGCAGTACTTCAGTAAAGACTTGTCACATATGGCCATTTTTTAAAAAGTGTGTGGGAAGCTAAGTGGTCCAGTGCATAGAGCGCTGGGCCTGAAGGCAGGAAGACTCATCTTCCTGAGTCAAATCAGGCCTCAGACACTTGCTAGCTATGTGGCCCTGGGCAAGTCACTTCACCCTGTTTGCCTCAGTTTCCTCCTCTGTAAAATGAGCTGGAGAAGGCTGGAGAAGGAAATGGCAAACCACGCCAAGAAAACCCCAAATGGGGTCACGAAGAGTCGGATATGACTGACATGACTGAACAACAAGCATAGCACTGGGGGCAGTGGTGTTTGAGTATGACAAGGAATCATCCTGGGACATTCTAAGAATCCAGTTATTGTCACAGCTTTGCCCTGAAAGGCAGACACTTATCCTGCTGGCAAATGAATCCTAAGCTTTAAGCCATGGATTTTAAGTCCTGACAGTACAAGGTCACTGAAGAGTTAGGCCCATTCTTCATTGGAGCTAATACGGCTACCAAAACAAGTTTCTAGCAACGTAAATTCTCCACATAGCTCGGATCGAGAGTAAACACTGTTCATCTCCTGCCCCAAACTGTCATTATATTGGACTTAAAACTGCTGGGGAAATTCACGCCGGAGCTAAATGCAATGAAGAAATAACTGCTCTAACAATTCCCAGGGATAGTTGGCATAATATCTGTACTTTATGAATGAAAGGTGGCATAGAAATATAAAAGCAATATAATACCAAGAAAAGTACTAACACCTCCCCTATCCAAAAACTACAATTAATGTTCATAAGGATAAGTGAGTCATCAAGAAAGATTCAATTATGTTTAGTAGGTCCTGTTTAAGAAAACTAACAGTATGTGTAATGAATCCAATCAATCAACCAGCAAGCATTTATTAGAGTGCCTACTGTGTGCCAGGCACTGTGCCATATGCTGGGAATAGAGAGAAAAAGCAAGAATAGTCCCTGCCCTCAAGGAGCTTACATTCTAAGGA